CAAGTATTTTTTGTTATGATTGAAGATGTGTTAATAAATGCCTGTTGATCGTGCTAGTTTCTTCCCTTTCTGTGGGTATGCTGTGAAGTGGTGTCAATGCCAACCTCAGCCTCCTAATGCTGTAGCAGCGTTCTCACCCTCCTGTGTGCTCCCACATTGGGGCTGCAGGATAATGTGTCAATATACAGGGTGCCTACAAGGTCCCATAGTCTGCCTTTGAGACCATGTCTTTGGGCCTGCCACCCTTAAATATTTTACTTAGTCCTGAGACCAACACATTTGTATATACTATACCTGCATATGACTTGAATATTATAAACTAATGGGTTCACTTTACTTTAATTTGATAGAGTATATATATACATGAGTCTGGATTGTTATTAGTTCAAAAAGCTGGGGAACAGATTAGAAAAATAACAAATAAAACTGGAATTGTGCTGGGCCCAGAATTAAAGTTGGGGAGGCATTGCATCACATCCTAGTGCCTCCCTATGACCCTGCCTCTGCTTCAAACCCTTTCTAAACTCTGTCTACCCTTTGTCACTCTCCCTCCCCATTCTCTTGTCAGAGAGGAAGTTTTAAAAAAATGTCCTGCTATTTACTAAAGGCTAAGCAACCCAGAAGAAACTGCCAGTCTGTTTTTTTGCTGCTACACCCCTTTAGACCTATGTGAACACAGGACACCTTCCTGGCAGGAGACTCATTACCTGTGCCTCTGCTAGCAAGGCCTTGTAAACCACAGACCAATCAAAGACAGTTTCTCAATTATTGTGTTAGTCAGGTAGATCTGTAAGTCTGTGTTCAGATTCATGTTAATATTTTCAAAAAATGCTCTTGTTAGAATGATGATAGCTCACAGTGGCTTCCATGTTATGATAAAGTACCATGTGATTTTTTTTTGCATCTTTAAATTAACAGCAATGGCTGTAGGTGTTGATCATCAAGGCAAACACATATTCTCATGTGTCCTCATTTCCATGCCATCAGGGTGTGCCAGACACTGATGCAATCTGTCGCCTCTTTTCACTGTCATTCTCACTAATAAAAAACAGAATCCCCTTGTATGAACTGAGTATAATGCCAGGCAGATTAGTTGTTGACAATAAGTGGAATTTATTATGATAATATAGAAGGGTTTGTATCATGACTGGTTCCATATAAGACAATTTCCCTAAGAAAAATCATTCAAAATTGACCAATCTGTTGGATAATGCCCAAACTGGCAGAATGGCAAACATGGCAGAGCAGGGATGCAGTAAGGGAGGCCCTAGGCTAGGTAGCAACCCTTCCCTTAGACTAATTTTTGGTTTATTGCAGAAGAATGAAGGTTGTATATGGGCGACTGAACATTCACCAGGTCCTGAGCCCCTGTCTAGGTTGCCTTGTGGATGATCTGGCTATGTGACAGATAGCAAAAGGCATGGTGTGTCTATGAGATTCTTTAGGTTAGTGAGTTTAAAATTACAAATAGCCCAGTGCTACCCTCTCTACTATCCATACCAGAGGGCTTTCCTGTCCTGGCCATTTATATTTCACATATAGGGTTATTGTTGCATGATCAACCCTGTTGTGTGATGGTTCCTGTCCATTACTACATTAAAGCTGTCTTAAGATGAACAGAACTTCTGTAGTCCTGGAGAGAGATCTCAAATAGAATTCAGTTCCCGAAATAACAGTCTTTCTGCTACAATCCTAGGAGTAAAATTGGGCTTGTCTGTGAAGGTTCTCCTTGATCCAGGTCATGGTATAATTAGCAGTAGCTAGTCACATTGAACTGGGCTTGTTCTGTAATTGTTGAAGTTGTTTCATAGCTTATCCAATCCACATCTTCAGTTCTGATGAGTGTCAGGAAAACCCCCCAGCATTTATATTCCTACAGGTAGCACAGACACCTTAATCCAATCACCGTGAAAGAGCAGATGTTTTGACAACAATTCATACTGTCAGCCATGGAATTTAAAAGCTTAAAGGAGAACTATGGGGTCAGTGTTTTTCCCCATAGTTCTCCTTAGGGTAACGGGAGGACACAAACTAGCGTCCTCCCGTTACCCTAAGCTCAGTATACCGCGAGCTACAGCTCGCGGTATACTGAGACGCCGCAGCCGGAGCAGATCCCGACGTAGATGACGGGATCCGCCCAGCTGCGTGAGTGACAGCTGGCTCTGCCTATCTAGAGACAGAGCCAGCTGTACCCGCCCCCTCCCCCGTCCGTTTCGCCAGTCAGCGCTGTTAGATCGGAGCGGGGAGAGGGGAATCCAGCCCCTCCCCCTGTCACGGCAGAGAGCCGTGACAGGATCGAGAGGTGAGCGAACCTGGTATGTGTTCGCTCACCTCCCGATCTACTGAGCCGACCTGTGACAGTCTCATTGTCACAGGTCGGCTAGAACTATGAGGTGAGTGGAAATCACTCATCTCATAGTTCTCCTTAACACCTATACAGACTACTTTACACGAATGGGATTATGAAATTAGAACAGGGTGGTTCCACACCTTTCACACCTGGATTGGATTAAGGTGTCCAATCACCTAAATCCATCCACCACCTTAGTATTTATGTCCATGCCCCATAGCAGCCACGTGGGCCAATATGGTGGCACTTCCGCCACTGTCCTCAATAATACAGAACAAGTCCAACAGAATGTGACTAACTACTACTAGCTAATTGGGCTTATGTGAACATGTGTGGGTTGTTTAGCCACAACCAGCTCTGGTTTAAAATGGTGCAAAGTGAATGAGTATGAGCTCTGCTGCGATCCTGGGGGAGCATTGCACAATATGGCACCAGTAGCTTTGGCAAAGATTAAAAACGTAAGACCAAAAAGGGCAACTGTAATACTTTGTTACCAGTTTTTTTTCTTGATTTAATATACATGCAGACTTCTGCAAGTATTATTGTATGAACACAGGGAAATACCTTATCAATAGGGTTGATACCACTGTGTGAAACGTTTATGTACTTATAGGGCTTCACTCCTTCATGACTGTATCAAGCTGTGTTTAACAATGCATGTTAAACACACACACACACACACACACACATATATTTTTTTAACGGTGTTTATTGCTCTCAAATTGCAAAAATCCAGTACAGGGTACAAAGGTTGCATACAAATGTGTTGCATGTTATGTTTAAAAAGTATAAATACAGTATGAAGGTGAACATGTTCTATTATATTTCTTGTTTATACTTCTATTCTTTTTTGCTTACAGTTATGGTTAGCATAACCATACAGATTATTTGTGAGGAGAGACTAAAGGATCTAAAAAGCCCTCACTCGAATTAGTGTATAGCACAAAAAAAGCCTCAGTAAAACAGAAGGTATTTACATGTCTCATTCCATCACATAAACCCGAAAATAAGAGGACTATTTTGTATTTCAGAAGAGTGAGTGGAGCCACTCCAAACAGCCAGAACTGCTGGTGTATAGTCTAATATTATAGAGCTACTGATTTCAGTTGTTTTTAGGCTTTTTGACCATCATCAGTGCAGAGTATGGCAGTCATGGCTCCTATGGAGTAGGGCTTGGGACACAACAACACAGCTTGGCCATCCAACCAGCTTTGAATGAACGATTCATTTGCATTTCTTGTCCTTTAGAGGTTTTCCCGTATTGGTTGGAGTTAAAAGAGAACTATGGGGTAAGTGTTTTCCCATAGTTCTCTTTAGGATCATGGGAGGACATATGCTAACTTCCTCTCGTGACACAAAGCTCAGTATATTGCGGGCTATTGCCTGTGATATACTGAGAGAGCCACAGCCGGGACGGATCCCAACAATATAGTCGAGATCCACCCAGCTGTGTGAGTGACATCTGGCTCTGCCCGCCCCCTCCCTTGTCCGTTCCTCCAGTCAGCACTGGAGGATCAGAGGGGGGGGGGGGGAATCCCTGCAGGGAGTGGTGACTGACAGTGTCCACTCTCTGCAGGGAGATGATCGGAGAGTGAGCGAGCGACGGTATGTGTTCGCTCACTTCCCGATCAATAGAGCCGACCTGTGACAGCTTCTTTGTCACAGGTCGGCTCTAACTATGAGGATGAGTGGAAAGCACTCACCTCATAGTTCTCCTTTAAGCATTTGATCTACGTGTGTTTTTAAAAAAAAATAACTTTTGTTTCTTGCAGTTGCAAATGCAATGAGTGTCCTCATTGAAGAGCTTTCCCCCACTTCCTGCTCAGTCACCTATCAGAGAGAAAGTGAAGGGAACGTCCTAAATTTGGATGCAGATGCCAATAAAAAGTGCATACCTACTCCCTACTGGAGCTAAGAGTTGACCTTTGGCCAACACTTCTGGGCGTGTTGTCTAAGAAGAATCATTCCCTGCATACTGCTTAAGACCTGACTGAGAACACCACATGAGACTGAGAACATTTAACCCTTCCCTCCTCTGTCCAAAAAATATTTTTCCTGTAAACTACCAGGTGTCCTTTGATAGCCTAATTCTACATGCATTGATCTAATCCTGCCTTTAAAGTATACAGTAGCTGTCTACAACATATTTAAAGCAGAGCTAAACCCTAACTGGTTATCAGTTTGTTAAAACATTGCATATCACAACCAATTGCCAGGTGTTTATTTCATAGAATACTATTTTTGCCTTTTTTCATCCTTCTTTGCTTCTCGGTGCTGCGGATTTCTTTCAGCCTCTTTCAGTCATTTCCTGTCTACATGCATGTCCTCCAGAGGCACATCATTGATTTTGACTGGCTTCCTTATGGCAGGCCATGCCTGAGCAAAATGTGTTGGCATGGCCACTTGGGCTTGACAATACAGAAGAATAATTAGACAGGGAAAGAACGTTGTCACCCTGTAACAGGAAGTGTCTAAACAAGGACCCTCATAGCAAGATCACCAGCTAGACTTTTAATGAAAGCTGCAGATTTAAAAAGTTTAAACACAACACAGTTTATATGACATTTTAGTGATTGAGTTTTGATCAGCATTTAAGAAATGGCTGGTTGCTTTTGTCTGCTACCTTAAAGCAATGTTTCTCTTTTTTTAGTAACCCCGGAGGCCATTGGATTTCTGTCAGCAGTGGGCGTCTTCATTGTGCTCCTGGCAATTCTCTTCCTCTTCATAAATAAAAAGCTGTGTTTCGAAAATATCGGTGACCTCCCATGTCTGGACAAACGTGGGCGAAGAAAGCGCCCAAAAGAGAGATCTGGGGTTCTACAAGGACTTGGTAAGTATTGATATCACCATATCTGAAGATTGTTTGTTTTATCGGCGTCAACTCTAAATTCCATAAAACTGTGGGAGAAGACATCAGATGTATTAAAGGCAGAGAGCAGATGTTTATTTTGGCAATTCAACAGAGGTTGCTATAGCAAGTCTTCCACCATATGAACATATTAGGGTAGTAAATCTCACTGCACTCTGATGAATGTCATTCTCTTCTCGGCTATATGTAACTCTTCTCATATTGTCTACTTGTGCTTTTGTGTGTTCTGGTTCTGCAGTATATATGGTGTTTTGTTATTCTTGATACAAAGTTGGTAATTTTTTTCTCTCGTTATGCTGTTGTGGTGATTATTTTATGTTTTGTTTATTTCCCTGGATGTACCTTGAGGCTTCTTTCTAAGTTCTGAGCTCTATACAGAGTTAAGTATTTGGCGTGTTTTCCGCATGCGTAGGCAAATGTACCTTTGCAATGCTGTTGCTGGTGTAACTCCTGTGACAGTTGGCAGTACAGTATAGCAAGTCATTCCACTTTATAGAATGTAGTTCAGCGTATTGCAACGTCAGTTTATCTTGAAGTTCTACAGTAATGTTTTTTGAAAATTTCCATGGAACCCGCAGCACAAGGGTCCTTTTCTACAGCATGCTGGTAGGGGACAGGCTTTTCTACTCGGGCTGTGGCTGCTTTCAGAAGAAAGCAAACTGTAAGACATAGCACACCTTTGTTTTGATGCACCTAGAATGTATTTAGCTGATGTAGACTAAAAGGTCAGTTGAGCTTTGAAGGGTGAAGAGATACATTCTAGAGGCAGAGCCAAGCTGGACTTTGACAGAAACAAATCTGGATTTTTATATAAACTGTAATCTGGATCAATAAAAGCCTTAAAAAAGAGAGATAGCTTTAATCTTTTAAATATAAAAGTGTTGAATACACTCATTATGAAAAAAAAAGAAATAAAGCAATACAGAAACATATAACAATAATTAACCCACTACACACTGATGCCTTTATATATAACTTAACAGAGAACTATAGCCAAACATTTTTGTTGTTTTTACTTTAGTTCTCTTTTGGGTCACAGGAGGAAATGTACTAACGTCCTCTTGTGACCCAAACTCAGCATCAAGTGGGCTACTGCCCGCTATTTGCTGACAGTACAGAGCTGCTCTGCAGCCAGGAAAGATCCTGACAATATTGTTGGGATCCACCTTGCTGTCTGATTGACAGCTGACTTTGCCTCTCTAGAGCCAGCTGTGCCTGCCCCCTCCCCTGTCTGTCCCCCAATGAGCGCTGGAGGAATCAAGACTGGAGGGGGAATCATTGTAGGGAGCGTTAACTGACAGTCGCCGCTCTCTGCATGGAGAAGACTGTGAGCTGACAGATCAACAGTATGTAATCGCTCAGTTCTCGATCTAAAGAGCCAGCGTGTGACAGCTGCAGTGTGACACGCCCGCTCAAACTATTGGGAAGAGTATATTTTACGCTAACAATAGTTCTTCTTTAAATTCTGCAGCCTTCATTCCAGGTATATGACATCAAGGGTAGTTCTTCTTCTTGAGAGTGGTATGGGCATTCCTACGCATGGAATAAGTGGCGCTCATACAGTTCTGGGATGAGGAGTAGGCAGAAGAGGTGGCCGCCTTGGTTAATTCATCAGGATGGGGTACAAAAAGTTCAAAGCTTAGGAAGGGGGGCGGGGGACAATTTGGACATTTTACAATGGTTCCTACCAATCCTTGTCCTTCTTGATCAGAGGTCTGGCAGCGTATGAACACCCTAAATCAGTGTGCTAGGGCACCTTCTAGCATAGCTACTCTTAAGGCAAAACAATTATCTTATATAGATGTAGGAGTGAGTAATTAGAGACCCTGCTCTAATTGTGGAACTTGTTACACGGCTATAATTAACTTAATTATAATTGGAGCTCATTGAAATGATCAGCTAATTACCTGATGTATCTTATTTTACTGCTTTTTGTATTCGAGGAGAAAAACATACGTAATGATCATTTTGTTAAAGGAAACTTTTCCCAGGCGAAAAATGGGAGCTCTCATTGCTGGCTTGTGATTTTGGAAATTCTAGTTGACTGGAAGTCATGCTGATTTACTGGCTGCAATACTTTGAGTAATTGATATCGAACAAATCTGCAGATATGGATTTGTGATTATACTACACTATGATTTTTCCCATATGTATATATCATCCAGGTAAGTGACTCAAAGTATTGAAGCCAGGGGATCAGCATAACAGCAAGTCAAGTAGCATTTGCAAAGGTAAACAATGGCATCCCTTATGTTTTTGCTAGTACAGGCTTTCTTTACGGCTCTATATTACACCCCTTGTGAACACTGTTCTCTCTTGTTCACTCTAAGTTTAAGCTTGCCTGACTCTAGGTCTAAATTATAGCCTAGCTTTGAGATCCCCCCCAGAGACTCCCACAGGCACCCAGTGTGTACTTTTTTAAACTTACCTTCTAGTGATGTCTTCTGCCCTTCACATGACAGCGGGATCCTTTTCTAAACTTTAACAGCAGTGGGAGGTCTTTCAATGATGCGGAGAGCAGAGCCGAAGTGATGACATCACTCTCGCTCTCTGCATTATTACACAGCGAGTGCAGGATGCCATGGCAAAGCCCGTTGATGGGGCGGGTCCATAACTCCCCACATGTTCTGTTTTCCAAGCTAAATGAAGCTAAGCATTATTCAGCCTGGATGACTGATGACATCTTGTTGCAAAAAGGAATTACTGCAAAGGACAGCACCAGATAGGAGGTGAGTATTGCAGCCAAGGCTGCATTTTGTAACTGCTGGGGGAGCTTTAAAAAAAAATTACCCTGAGGTTGAGCTTTAAAGACTTTGTTGCACTTTATGAACTCTGTTCTAAGATTGCTATTTCATATTTTAAAAACTGTTATGTGGAAGAAAGTACCTTTACTATGTATACTATATATATGTTACATTTAAATGAAAAGAGTCGCAGAGTTGTAATGAAAAATATTGCACAGAGTAGCATGCACCACCTAGCTCTATTTTCAGTCACCAACTGTACTGTACCGACTTTATACAACCAACTTGTAGAGCTCTTTGTGGTAGTTTTGTTGGACATTTAAATGACTTGCCAGTCAATATGAACGTATGATCATAATAAAACATGGCAGCAAATATTAAATATCCATGTAATTTTATATTCCGTCAAATAAAGACCTCCTTGTCAGTGCTCGTTTGGCTTCCTTCTTTCCCATCTGTTTGTACTTGTATCTTCTGCACATGTGTTTGTATCTAACAGCTGACTTCAGCGTGACAATTCTTTGTTTCTGTCTGAATCTTAATGTTACTAACATGTATGTCACTTGTATTTAGTTTCTTTCCAAATTCTGGGACTCTTGGTGTCTCTATTGTGTCTTCCTGTCTTGATGTCCTTTGCATCCTTATACCTTACATTCCTCCAGAGACAGTGAGTCTATAAATGTTTTCGAATATGCTCAGAATTGACACTTAGGGGGTGATTTACTAACCTAAACACCAGGTACGTGTGCATTTTTACACAGCAAAACGTATTTATCAACCAAACACGAGCAACGTGTCACATTTTCACGCCGTTATGGCGTGTTTTTATGTATTTACGTACGTGCGCGTCATGTAGCATGCGCCATAGGCTACACGACGCTCTAATAGCGGCATGCAAGTCTCTAAAAGCATATTTCCACTAATGCCATATATATAAAAAATCATGCACATGATGCATATATAAAGCTGCTTCACAGTTTAGACAAAAATGGTGAGCATTTACATTCCTGCATTCATCAATGCAAGCAACACAACGTCACCTTGTAATTCATGCAGGGCTTTGCACAACACACCTGCTGGGTGTGTACACACTACAAAGGTGTCTAGATTCCACCAATAGATCATGCTGGGAGGGAACACACTACAGAGGTGTATACTTGTTCGTGGCATGTTTCTAAGGTTAGTAAATCAACCCCTTAACCTTAGCCAGATACATATGTCAAATACATACTACCTTTTGGGAAAGCCCCAGGTCAGAATGACCAGTAGATCCAGATATACAGGCAGCTAAATGTAGATCACAACTTTTCTTGTAAAATGTGAACTTCAGCCTGATTCTTGTTGTCCATCTCAATAAAGCTTTAGGGATGTTCAGATACCAGAGCCGATAGTTGGCATTTTCTCGAGAACTACCAGGGTTGCAGCTGGGACCGGGCTCTGGCACTCCACCACGTTCCTGAAATCATTAGTCTGTATTGTTTTAGAAAAACTGTCACATGACACTAAACAAAAATGTATCAGTACTTGTATCTGTGCGGAAAAAATGGTATTGGTGCATCCCTCATATATATTTATATAAAACAAATCATACATTATAACAGGAATGCACAAATCCCAGGATCTATGTGTGCTCCTTAAAAATAACAGCTGCTTCCTAAATTCTAATTTTTCTCTAGTCTAGTCCTGGAGCTGGAAAAGTATCTGTACGTGTACTTGTACTTGTACCGAGTACGGTACTTAGTATGTGAACATCCCTACCCAGCTTTAGTGAGCTAATTAAAACTATCAGCTAAATGCATTCCAGGTACATCAAAACAAAAAGTGGAACCGCAGTCAGAGAAAAGTCAGTCCTCTGCCAGCATGCTGTAGATGTGTTCCCTTTATGGAAACAATAGTCTTTCTGAAGAGGTCGAAAAATATCCAATCAGCAAAGCTTAGCTCTGACCTCTGCAGAGGTACTACTGCCTCCACACACAGCACAAGGGTCCTTTTCTATAGCATGCTGGTAGGGGACAGGCTTTTCTACTCGGGCTGTGGCTGCTTTCAGAAGAAAGCAAACTGTAAGACATAGCACACCTTTGTTTTGATGCACCTAGAATGTATTTAGCTGATGTAGACTAAAAGGTCAGTTGAGCTTTGAAGGGTGAAGAGATACATTCTAGAGGCAGAGCCAAGCTGGACTTTTACAGAAACAAATCTCGATTTGTATATAAACTG